GACCAATATTTATGCTGACTAACGAATGACTATTTTGACTGATTAATACCTATTCTACCCGGTCAGAAAAGATTGTGACCAACCTCATTTCTGACAGGCTAATACATGTTATGACAGACTGATACCGATTGTGACTGAACCACGTCTCTTGTGACTAACCAGCAGCTATTGTCACTGATTAACACATGCTGATGTGAACATTCTCACTGATAAATACCAATTGTGACTAAACATAGTCTAATTGTAGTACTTATTTACTTAAGCAACAAGTATTCCTGGTAACTAGTACCTATTCTGATCGAGAAATACCGTGATTAGCTATTCCTATTGACCTGTAGATATTATGACTAACCAGTGTTATGTATATCTATATTGCAGCTGTTCCTATTGACCTGCAATTTTTATGACTAATCAGTATTATGTATATCTATATTGCGGCTATTGTTATTGACCTGTAGTTATTATGACTAACCAGTGTTATGTATATCTTTATTGTGGCTATTGTTATTGACCTGTAGCTACTATAACTAACCAGTTATGTATATTGCAGCTATTCTTATTGACCTGTAGTTATTATGACTAACCAGTGTTATGTATATCTATATTGTGGCTATTCTTATTGACATGCAGTTATTATGACTAACCAGTGTTATGTGTATCTTTATTGTGGCTATTCTTAATGACCTGTCGTTATTATGACTAACCAGTGTTATGTATATCTATATTGTGGCTATTCTTATTGACCTTTAGTTATTGTGACTAACCAGTGTTATGTATATCTATATTGCAGCTGTTCTTATTGACCTGCAATTTTTATGACTAATCAGTATTATGTATATCTATATTGCGGCTATTGTTATTGACCTGTAGTTATTATGACTAACCAGTGTTATGTATATCTTTATTGTGGCTATTGTTATTGACCTGTAGCTACTATAACTAACCAGTTATGTATATTGCAGCTATTCTTATTGACCTGTAGTTATTATGACTAACCAGTGTTATGTATATCTATATTGCGGCTATTCTTATTGACCTGTAGTTATTATGACTAACCAGTGTTATGTATATCTATATTGCGGTTATTCTTATTGACCTGTAGTTATTATGACTAACCAGTGTTATGTATGTCTATATTGCAGCTATTCTTTTTGACCTGTAGTTATTATTACTAACCATTATTATGTGTATCTATATTATGGCTATTCTTATTGACCTGTAGTTTTTATGACTAACCATTGTTATGTATATCTATATTGCTTGCTTGAATTTTGTCTAAGTAGATGGTACTTTAAGTTATTGGTCCTTAATAAAGAACATGTTTACATGGATACATATTTTTGTCCATGTTTGTTGGTTGCAAATAGGTTGTTTATGATCTTAGACTTTTCTATAATATTTTTATTTACAACTTGATTGGAATTGTCCATGATACTAACTCACATCTAGGCCAAGCAAAAATACGCGTAAAACATCTTGGTAAAAAAATAATTCTTTCCAGTTTCATATCAGTGTGTGAGATTCAATTATCAGTTTGCAGTTGTTTGCAGGTATAATTCGAGATGAATATGTATTTAAATTATTGAATTGAATTACCAGTTAATGAGCGATACCTGTTTTTATCACGACCACGCAAAGATGATGCAATGTGCAAAACATGTTCATCTTACGTATTCATTGATGGAAATTCTAATTATGTGATCATAGAGTAGTATTATTCCATGAACGCAGTTGAAACGTTATATCAGGTACATTTTATTGCATGAATACAACTGCGATATTTTTTAACTTGTACCGGACAAACTGGATGAGAGATAAGACGTTGACTCTGCAATGCAATGCTACTTTGATAAACACAGTGCGGTTAGGTAAGGTCACTATTGCGTGATCGCTGCAAAATGCATGGTGTCATGTTGATAAATATTTACAAAGCGACATTGTGAGAGACAAGCGTTCAACATTTTGCATAAGTATCGTGTAATTTTTATATTTAATGGATAGTGTTTCCTTGTTGGCTGTAAAAATGCATTAGCTATCTGAGGAAAATCAATAATATCGTGAACTGGACATGTGCTGAAATAAACCATTATATCATGAAAACATAAAAAGTTGTCAAAACATGACCTCTATATAGGACTGTACATTTTCTTGGGTAACACAGCTGTCAGTTAACATTTGGAGAAAATCTATCTAATTTTAAATAAGAGTTTGTTTTAACCAGAGATCATTGACGAAGAAAAAGCAACGCTTTTTTTTAATATTTGTTGCACAGAGACCGGACAAAAGTTGAATGAAGACTAGTGTACAACTTACATAAGAGCAAACCCACCGCCCGAAGCACAGAATACTAAAACAACATGGATCAAACTCTAAACCGCGCTATTAATATCTCAGTGAAAAGCAACAGTGATCACTCGATATTAACGTAAGTGTTCCAAGATGGAGCTCAATCTATGTGCCAAGCAACCTAAGATTTTAACGATATAATAATAACCTTACAATTCCATCATGTGTCGTCCAAAAAGATGTCACCTTCCATGAAGTCTAAAATCAAAATCAAACTGTAGACTACATCGACCTTAATAAGAATTTCCTGTACCTTATATTACAACGGTCAATAATGCTAATACGAGTCAAGACTTGAGTGGGCTGCCGTCAACAATTTCGTGTAGTCTTTGTAAAGCAAAGTGGATTTATACCTTATGAGCGAAATAACCAGCAGCTTTATGGACACGTACCATTACATGGTCCACTTAGAAATCTTTTCATTCACTAAAACAAAGCCAAGAACACACACCTCGATGCTTATGGGGTATGTAAACCCCACAATTTCAACGCGCAACGCGTTCAGTCTTAATAGAGGGTGACAACGATCACAATGTAGGATTAAAAAAACCGAAAAGAGAAACTCAAACAAGGCCGTAGTTCTGACTCGATGGATCTTGTACATTTGGCTATGCGACTGCAGGATCTGTATTTGTGAAATGGTTTGTCTGTACGTCTGAGGGTGAATTGGAATAGAAACGTCTTCCATATGATGGCCATGGTTAACAATTTCGAAACCATCATTGAAGAAGTGAGATTGTATGTATGACGTGTAGAGGTAACAGGCACGACTTCATTTTAGTATTTGATCAGAACTACATCTAAGTATCCCATAATACGAATACAAGTCAGAATTGTCACCATCGCTGCTGACCTTCGAACTAAGAGCGAATATAACGTGTTCAAGGGTTTGCTACCTAAATGCTTTTTATTTGACACGTTACCTAATGTGGTCTTCATATAAAACTACTGATCAAAATCCTCACAGCTCCAATGATTCCAAGACTTAAGTTTGTGTGACAGAGCTTTTATAATCAGACATTGCCTAAACATTTATTCGAGTTCTCACCTGACCCTGTTTGAAGTAACATGGCAATTGGATACATGCGCATTAAACATGTTATTTCATAAGAAAAATTTCATAGGAGGTTGTTGTTTGTTTGGGAATTGGATTTTACACCAAACCATGAAAGTTAAAAAAATCCACCCTATAAAACGGGGACAACTGCTAGAGGAAATTTGGTTTCCTCCAGCCATCGAGAACACGTTGAACGTGATCATATTTGAAGACTAAAGTAATGCCCTTGAATCAGCCAATCACAGACTACTAAATTGGAAATAAATTATCAAGAACATAAACTACAACAGACACAATCAAAATCTTAAATAATGAGGAAAAGAAGGAATAAAAAAGATCCAAAATTGTGTGTCCAACAATGTGTGTGTGTGTGATTTGCATGGTCACGATGATTAGCTTTTTTATTCAGTTCGGCAAATGTATTTTAAATCGATGGCAGAATAAAATCATTACGATTCACTTATGACATGATCTTTACAACCAATAGTTTCAACCCTATATATGTTCGTCATATTTTTCTTAGTTGCTCTTATGTTATTTTTTATATGTGACATCTGTTTATCTGGTGAATATAATTATCGCATTGAATTTTGACGAGCAGCGACTGCCTTAATCCTCCATGTTGGTTACGTTTCATAAACGTGAGTTACCTGTTTTAGTGAATTTAGTGGTGCCTGTTCAATTTTCTTAATTGGTTCTCATATTTGTTTGTTTTCATCTGTCTATTTGTCCCTTTGTAAGCTACAGTAATTTTACTTCCCGTACGGTTTCATACCGTTCCATCCAAGTCAATTTCTGGTAGGGATTCATAGACCGATATTGTCAAACATCGTAATATTAAATTCCCGTAGGACTTCATACCGTCCACAAAACCAGTAATGTTAAATCCCCATATACCAATACCGCTTTCAACTTTTCAAACTTGACGTAATGCTAAATTCTCATAATTCCATATTACTTATCATAAATTCTGCAGAAAGACGCGAAACTATATATTCTCTTGATAAATGTTTACTTTTATTGTCTACTTTAACCAATGATTTAAGGATGAATGTTGATTTTATTGATGTAAATGTATAGTAATTTCGACGAGCACTGAGAAAAACGGATATTAATATTAAATGACACTCAAGCTAATTATTTATGACAAAAATTGTTGCTTTTGACATACACAAAAATAATTTTCCAACTGAAAACGCTATCTTCGTGTACAAAATGCAGCAAATATGGCCTTACCAATGACCACTTTGTACAACTTGAGTATGAGCAACAACGATGGAAGAATGAATTATATAGATTTCGTACAGAGCTGAGACGAGACTTAAAGCTTGACGACGAAAATGAGAGGCGAAAGTGACGTCCTATTTTAATCAATACATTATTAATGGGTTTGTTTTTAATATAGCTTTAACAATTTTTAGTCATATCGCTACAATGTCAGGAGTGTGGTAGTCAATAGTGATATCTAGCACTGGGGCATCATGATGTCACCCCCAGTCACATTACCCTGACACCAGACCATACAGTCATAACACTAATCTGTTAATGGTGAACGCCAGCGAGGCAGCTGTCAGTACCATTTTATAATTCTTTGTCACGCTTCGATTGGGGCTCGAACCCTCGCTCTCACGCATCCGAGGCGGACGTTCTAACCACTATGCCACCGGAACGGTTGATACTAATGGAGATGAGTGTTGATGTTGAAAAGGAACCATTTATTTTGGAATTCACTATATTTTTCGTCCTGCAGATGAGTTCGTGTAATATTGATCTGCTGGGTTTATGTTGTATAATATTTGCTAATTGATAAAACAGTGCTTGAACATAAGCCTATGAGTGGGCATTAAGATGCTATGCCATTATGAAACTAAGACATTTACTTTGATATTCATTTGTATACCTATGGAATTCTGTTTTAATTCTATATGTAATCTATATTGAAGTCCCTAAATGAAGCCTGCAGCAACAAAAATAGTATAATGTTTTAATTTTGCTTCCCTAATTCTGAGGTCTATGGATGCTCATCTTGTAGTTTCATTCTCAATTCAATTATATGGCTCCTCAGTCTTGTTATCACTCGTGCAGTAAAAAAAATATCTAGCCATAAACAAGTCTATAAATCTCCAAGAATGCATTTCCCATTTACTAGCAATATACATCTATGGGTCTGTTGTCCACGAAAAGAGAAATTTAACGGAAATGGTTTGAAAAGAGATGTTTGTAAATATTTGTTTTCTTCATTTTGGAACAAAACTGGTGGAATGAAGTTATATATCTTCCAAGTACTAGGCGCAAATGATAACAAAAGCTTGACCTTCATATGAAATCTTGTAGGATTGTTTTCTTGATTTCTCATTCAGAAACAACAAACAAAGTTTTGCCTTTTGGCGCAAAGTTGTATGCAACTATTGCCTCTTTATTTCCATTTAATTTGTTGATGCTATAACATAAAAAGATTAATAATGATATTATTGACGGTTTAAACATATTTACTTATTTCAATTGTCTGCGTTTCACGTTAATCGATCGAGTCCGTAACATTTGCAAGGTTATTTGTTAACCAGGCCAGTTTTGAAATTCGTAATAATCAAAGTATATTACGTTAGTTGAAATTAGTTCATATTATTCCTAATTGAATTTGTCTCGTTCAATATTTATTGCATATATTATTTTGCTGCTGCTGAGCGGACGGGCTCACAAATAGATTGTCGAATCCAGCTAATCTACAAATAGAAACGCAACTCAAGGACGGACAAGAAAGTCTCATAAAATGAATGAAAACCTTGACGTAATGACGACAACTAACAGGAAAATGTGCAATCAACTTTTGTGGTTACACACGTTGATTTCAAGTTCGGGACTCTTAAGTTAATCAAACGATGTTCACATTTATCTGTGTCAGTTACACCCCGTCAAACAAAACGAATGTCCCATATCCAAGTCCTCGACGTTTCTCGCTTTAATCATAATTTTTTTAAAATTCAGGACCATTTTAGTCTGCGCTCTGAAACAACAAAAAAAGAAAACCCACTTCCTCTCCTCTCCATTGAAGAGCTGATGTTGTGAAAATGTAATATGCATATTTCATTAATATTTGATAAACAGTTGAGTTTTTTTTACTTGGAAGGGCGTATCTAAAGTTATATTAAATCACCACAGACTCTTATATATTCTGATCCATTCTTTTTTCTAAAGCATCTAATTTTTCAGTATTGATTCTAGTGATCCACACCATGTACCACACACAGTTATTGATAATAACTACGAACACGCGTAATAGTTTATGTTAATTACTTATGCATATTAAATATACATAGAGCCAATATTTACACAGAAAATCAATTCAAAAAGCCAGGAATAGAGATGAAAATGACTAGCCCACTGCTCGATCGATCAAGAGAGAGAGAGAGAGAGAGAGAGAGAGAGAGAGAGAGAGAGAGAGAGAGAGAGAGAGAGAGAGAGAGAGAGAGAGAGAGAGAGAGAGAGCACTAATATTCAGTATTGCTGATTAATAGTTGAATCTCTAATGTGGGTGCGGCTGCTGTTGATGAGACATTGCATAATATATATTCCAACTGCCTCTGCACAATCGGATTAGCTAGTAAGGTATAAAGGTTTACTATGGTACTTTTAGCAGTGCGACTTGGAGGTACGGAACAAACCTTGTCCTGATTGTATGTGTCACCAAATAACTGTTATATATATATATATATATATATATATATATATATATATATATATATATATATATATATATATATATATATATATATATATATATATATATATATATATATATATATATATATATATATGGTAGTGGTACATCCCGCCCAGCTTTGTTTGGATGGATATTATCCGTTTGGTTATCGCTGCATAGAGGAGTTTGCCGACGGTGTAATTTGCCCTGGACTAAAAATATCAATCGAAGTTGGAAAAATGTCGGGTGGAATAGATAAGGAAGTGAGCAGGTGTATATAAAAGAATAAAACAAGCCCCCGTTACAAATATTGACAAAATTTAATCCAGTTAATAACAAAAGTAATAAATACAAGAAATAATGATACCAATCCTTGAACTGTTACATTATATAATTTAAATCATCATTTATATCACGTTGGATATATCAAAACCATTGCCTTGTACAGTTTTTGTAACCCGATAGTCTCGATTGAGTCTGGATTCCACCGTAACGTTTCCATTGAGCTGGCAAGTCCAGGTCTCCTTCACTTTTAACTTTCTTTTCGAAAATTTACAGGTGGCCAGTCCTTTTCCCTCCATTCAAATTTGTGTCCACTTTGGGTTGGTAAGATGTAATAAGAGTGTAGATCGTAGAGCACAGAATTACTAGCTATGCTGATGTTTTCAAAATAACAAAACTAAACAACCTAAATCTTCTGTCACATTATACTGAGTGAATAAATCCATACCTCCTCCCTCTCGTTAAGTCAGATAAATTATATTCTAATGTTAAACAGATTCTACGGCTACATAGTCTTACCAGCCTTGACAGACGTAAACAACCTCGTTTCACAAAATTAATGGTCACTAAATGGCTATTCTAACACACCTACCGAGACGTCAGTTCCAGGCTAGTCTCAGTTATAAAAATGAATGAAATTCCGTGCTACTATATTCATAACAGGATTCAAGTGGCTATCATACTTGAACTCATATAAGGGTCGGATAATTCATATAGATTCTCGCATTTCAACTAAAACAAAACATATACTACCAAATGCATAATTTCCACTAATAAGCGTCAATGTTTTTATAAAGAAAACGATTGTACGGATCCAGCTAAACGAACTTAAGACACGTATACCATATCAAAAAATTAAATTTACGTACTTAACAAACACATTCATGCAAATAAATTGAAATAAGTCATAATATTATTATAGAAGAATCAATGAATTACATAAGTTTGTTGCAAATACCTTATTTTTCAAAAGTCTTACTTCCAGAATGTGTCTCTCAAATTTTCCAGACAATTCCTTTTCCTGGATGATTTTCTACGAGTGAATTTCTTCTGAATTGAGCTCTGAGCCTTTCTTTTAACCTCCTCTCATAGTAAAATGCGCAGACTAATGTGTACTCTATGCCTACTGCAACGTGTACCGTATCAAACAATATGGCAGCATCACATCGCATTGATCATTCTGTTTTGAAAAAAAAAATTGTCGTTATAAAATTTTTGTTTATTCAGGTGGAAGCTTTTTCTTCGATTTATAGTTTGTCAAATGTGCAATTCACTTTTACCAGTATAACTTCGTTTGGAACTATATTTTATGTGCAACAATTGAAAGGTGCACCGTCTGTCAGAATGAACGAAATCGCAATTATTCGTTTTTCCTTCTATCTAAATTATTTCCAATGAAATAAAGAATCTCAAACGGGTAATGATTTAATATTAGATTTATGAAACTCGTTGAATAATGTCCCCTTTTCCTGCCAAAGCTGGACATTATTCAACTCGTTTCATAAAGTCAATATTAAACTATTACCCATTTGAGATCCTCTAGTTATTAACGAGACGCTATGACAATAAATATCAATTTCATAAAATGAATGCTGATTTCGTAACAGAAATTTCTCTGAATATTATATAACAGTAACTGGTTGCTAGGCAACAGATGTAGAAACAACTACTAGCTTTCTTCTTTTGTACGTTTCTTGTTTTGCAGCCAAATATATACATGCGTTTTATTTAAATTGTGTTTCAAACCTTGAGAGAGCATGGATACTTTGTGGTGTTGGTCCCAAATATTTAATTAATTACCTTTCCAGAACAAATGGCATCCGCTAGATGACAACAAGGTCAACAAACCACTCTCTTGATCATTCCATAACCGCAAAACTACATAGTTTACTAAGCCAGTCTTTGATTGATTAAATTTTCATTACGAATCCAATTTTAACTCAAAAGCGTGTTTAAATACGATTGTAATATTTCAGAAAAAGTAATTTGATTTTGTAGATAACGAAGCACTAAAGGAATAAGATTTTGTCTAGCAGTTACTTCAACGGTTCACCATGTATAAAAGAAAGAGGGAAGTGTGCAAGGAATTAACTGACATGCACAACATACAAGATATTAAACTACATTATCATAAGTAGATTTAGATCCGGATGGTCTATTTCTCGCATCTGTGCTGACGCCAGAACATCTCTGTTATCTTTGAATTTCACTGCAACGTTCTAACAAAGTCGTGATAAAGATCAAAACCTACTTTGTTATAACCGATGGCCAAAATAAGGAAGCTGGTTATCATTAATTACACACACGTGTATATCTGTTATTAATTACACACATGTGTATAACTGTTCAGTCTTTCGAGTTTCAAAGGAATGTTCTGTTTAAAATCACGTGGTTTAGTTGTTGTTGTGGGGCTTAACGCTATTTTTCAGCACTCGATAGACTTAATGGTGGAGGAAGAAACCGGGAAATCGGCGGAAAGAACAACCGACCCATTAGAAGCTACTGGCAAGCTTTCTCACATATCCACATTCACCTTGTTTAGTATTATAATCACGATCTTTTTTGTTTTAAAAAGAAAAGATGCACTTTAGCTCTCCTTATCGGAAGGCAATGCTCGGCAGATCAGTTTGCAGTTTATTTAACTACAAGCGATTTTGATTACACACACACATACACACATACACGCGT